GAACGGACGTCGGACGAGTTATATCGTCCGGTGGCGCGGCTATCCCCCGTCCTGGGATACTTGAGAGCCCCGCTCCCAACTGATGGTTGACGTGCTGGGTCTGGTTGAGCAGTACGACGCGGCACATCCTGTGCCGCAGAAGGACCGCCGGATAAAGTCTTCCCGGCACGGTCGTAAAGGGATTTCAGGTTGTCAATCCCTTCGTACATCTCAGTAGAGATACGTACGCGCCACCACGGGCTAGTAAGGAGGTAAGCCTCCTTAGGTGCTCGTGCAGAGTTGCTCACACAACATGGGCACGCGTCTCCCCAAGAGAGGCAGGGTAACCCTTTCTCCCTAGACAGACGATGCAGCTTTTAGCGTGCACCTGTCGGTGTTCGCTTTTCAAACTTATCACGAGCTTTGATAAGTTTGTCGTTCCAAACGTCACGACCTACATCCTCAAGGTTATGGATGTAGGCGTTCCACGCTTGTAGCAGTGAGGGACCATCACGTTTGCGATTCCCACTGTACCATCGATGCTTAAAGATAGCATCGATGAAGAAATCGTTCTCAGCGCGATATTTTTTCGCACTGTGGTCAAGGTGATGGATCCTTGACAAATCGAACAACCGTGTTCGATAACGATCACTCGTCGTCGCCGACAAGTGATCCATGACAGATTTGGGAGGCATCCATGCCTTCTTCTCAGGAGCGAGACGCAAGACATTGCGGTCCCGCTCTTCCTGCGATGTGCCGACAGAAGGACTGGCACCTCGTTGCGAAGTGGTGTTCATAGGAGAACCGACACCACTGTTAGCGCCCGAGTCTCGCGACCTCGAGCGCCTTCGCTTCGGCGATGGTTCATCTGATGAATCAGATGAACCAAAGATGCTACGACGCATAGCATCATCCATGCCACGCTTGGCAGGCGGCTTGGATTCAATCGCCGTCGATACGGATCCGTCTTCCGTATCAGGAGAGTATGAGACTCCGAGCTCATACTCTGTGAAGACATGAGTGTCTTCATGACCAGCGCCTGCATCACCAAGTGACACAGGCTGAGTCGCTTCAGCAACCGATGAGACATCAGTTGCTGTGGTTTCTGCTTCGGCGGCCGCACAGAGATGTGCGGACGCGCTCTCGGCGGCCTTGCTCGCGCATCGCATGGGCTTGTTAACCATGCGATAAGATGTGGAAAGTGGACTCGGACCAACAAGTGCAAACCCTGTCCCAAATGATTTGGGACGAGTATCCATTTAGTCAATCAGTCACTAAAGTGACTGATGGTTAAGGGGGGGGCGATGTAACGGGGTGAATCGTTACATAACAATTTATAAGAAATTGTTTACAGAATATAACTATAAGAGTTATATTCTTAGAATATTGTCATAAGGACAAATATTCTGTTGCACTGACAAGTAGTTCCTAATTGGTTGATATAGGCCATTATATCAACCAACGAAGACGCGCCACGACAGACGCACGCAATGAGTGGTGAGCAGATAGTTGATATGCACATTTGTATTCAGACATAGTTAGATGAGGATAAATAGTGATTTATTAACAGACATTAACTATTATAAATACAGTTCTACTTTTTACCTAAACTAAGTACTCGCTTGTTCTACCGTCTTCCTCTGCACGTACGAGTGTAAGTGAAGTTCCGAGGCACCGCCTTATTCTGTCATCAGAATAAGTAGCTTGTACTGGTAACAGTACAAGCTTCAGGGTGCCCCGTTACATTCGACTTGAATGGTAAATACGTGACCACAATGCTGGAATCGATCAATGCTGAAAGGTGCCCAGTGATGCCGCAGAGGGAACTTGTTCTTGTTTAGATATGCCACAGTGTTGTAGTCATATGCAACGACATCAAACATAATTAGAACGGGATGCATTTATTATGAAGCGTAAGATGTTGAATCTTACTGCAACTTTTGGAAGCTTTGCCAAAGCTCCACAAACACCTCCTGCAGGAGCATGAACACCATCGTTCCAGTAATCCATAAATGCTATCCAGATCTCGTCATCGGCATCTGGGAATTTTTTTTGTGACAGCAATTTATGATATAATTTGCATTATGAAACCTGCAGATAGTGATGAATGCGATTTGCAACTTCTCCTAAATAGCCTTCATTTGGACAAGATCGCAATCAACGATAAGAATTTTGGCTTCCGCGGAAGAATTCGGCTAATCTCGTTCATCATTCATTTTGTCTCCCATGTGAGCTTCCCCGTCTTTAAATTCTAAGGCTGCAGAAAAAGTCTGATACGTGCATGTAAACCCGAAGATGTGCAGTAGCCGGAATCTGTAGTCATTTGTCTTGTAGGTGCAGTCTACGGTTAAAAATACGTGGCGACGGCAAAAAAATCTTTCAGCTGTTCTGGCTGCTAAGAGCGATATCGAACGGGATTTGCTTCGTCTAAAGCGACGGTGGCGATAACATTTTTTTCCGTCAAGTGCTTCATCAACGACTCTGTGTGCGTTTTGCCGCTCGGTGTCTTCTTGCTCGCCTTCTAAATGATGTTGTGGACATCACATGGTTCGATAAGAACGTCCATCTCTCGTGATTTAATTAGCAATAAACTGTTTACCATCCGAATACATAAATAATAAGTATAAATTGCCGTCTAGAATCAGGAGATCAACACATACCCGTGGAGCATCTCTATCTTTATGCATCTCAGCGACCTTGGCATCAATATTTCCCTCTTCTCTCGTTGCACAAAAGCAAGAGGTAGGGCAGATGTTATTGTTTTGCGGATGCATTAGATGTGTCGGTTGTGACAGTCATTCAATAGAGCGTCTACCATGCGCTCTCTTCTGGCGCGCAATTGTCGTAGAATATCACAAGCTCATACAGGAACAGGATTTTTCTTGATCCTCGTTCTGTCAGTACTATAGGCCTCCGTGGACTTTCTTATGGTGCTTTACCAGCGCGCAACGGAGATCAACACGCTTGGTCCCGAATCGACTGCTGTGGTAGTTACTTAGAGCGAAGCCTTGGCTCACAGCGTGATTTTTGACAGCCGCAACAGAATGTTTCTGACCGCTGAATGACCCGGCTGGTAGGGTTCCTCATAGCTCCATGTTCAGCGGCGGTTGCATCATTATGCCCTCATGGGCAACATTAAGAGCTGCATCATCAGAGAAGAGGTCAAACGGGCTCATCATATTAATGATGATGACGGAGGTCAGCGCAAACTGAAAGGTTGACGTGGCCTTTCGCTTGCCCACATTTATGTACTATTTTCAAGACTAAAATGTAGGCGGTACAAATTATGCGTAGAAAGGCAATAAACTTACGCTTATTTGGAATACGCCTCCCTTTTGAAAGTCTCCCGGCAAATGTTCATCGAATCTTACCATGCCCCCCACAGCCCATTTAACTGAGCTTTCTTTATGTCGTGAACAAGAATTGAGTACAACTCCATCCCAAGCTTAGTAGTCTTAATCGCATGGTCTCAAAGACGATGGGAGTGTTGTCCAATAACGCCTTCTCATCCCTCATCTCGGCGACAACCTCCACTAGACGTCTGCCAAGAGAACGGTGCTGCCGACTGCACAGCTCGTTCGTTAAGGCCGGCTCCTTTCTCGTCCACCCTAGTCTCTTCCATCTCCCTTGGCTACGGCGGCTTCGTTGTGTTAGACCCAACAGCAGGCCCTGCTGACTCCTGAGTAGTGCATAGTCCACCATTTCCTGCCTCCGGAGCGTTTCTGAAATAGCCGTGCCCCTGGTGGAGGCTTCCAGACCTGGCTTTATGGCACAGAGCTAGGTCGAGGCGTGTTTAGTACGGCTCGCAATTAGTTGTATTTGCTTCTGATTGAGTGCCTCTGACATGTCAAAATGAGAAGTAATACATGCTCTAAGAAGAGGGAGGTATTTCTCAAACTCTAAGAGCGTCTACAGCAGTCAGTACACCTTAACTTTCTGTCCAATCAAAAAACCCAATTCGATTAAACTAAAAAAAGTGCGCCACAGCAGCGAAATAATTCGGGGATAACTCGAGAAAAAGGCATTTCTTCGCTATCCAGCCTACGTTTTGTAGTTCGGTGACCCCGAGTTAGTTTGTTTTGGCTGCATGTCATCAGCTATAATTTTGAGTTCAATCAGGTCATTGGCGACGATTAGCTGCATGTCATTGGCTGAAGTTGATAGAGAAGAACTATGATTTTGAAGTCGACGACGTGGGTCTCAATGACACTAACAACATACCGTTGGGCCTGACAAGGGACCTGACACACAAACAAGGTGACCGCAAAACTTTACCAGTCACGTTGGACCGAAATAAACTGATGCCATACAGTTCTACTGACTGCTGTGAAGATTTTTTGCGAATAAGTTCGAGCGGAAATTATTGCGAGCCCGAAGGGTGAAGCTATGACTAATTGTGCGCAAGGCTGAATGCCGAACTTCTAAAACGTACTTATCCTTGTGTCTGTGTGTGTGTGTCTGTAGGTAAATAACGTGGCGAGGTGAACCTCGCACGTACTAAGTACGACATAGCCTGTCCCCCCTCATAGGTATATATGCATATCCGGAGTCACTCGTTGGCTGCGAACTCTACTCTACACGAAAGAAGACCGCCTGCAAGTTGAAGTACCATGGTAATACCGAGTTGCTAGGTCGACCCGAGAATTGAGTATCAATATCAGCGAACGCACCGTCGGTGTCGCACCCTCTTCGTCCGTTTTGCCGGCTCGCAAAGTGCTGACCGGCCGCTACTTCATCCTTGTATGTTCAGTGTAAATGGACATGCACGCTTCACGTTTCAACCTGTCGACAAGTCGTGAAAACCTCGATCCCGTACATCTCATTGCTCACCTCGCGTTACTTCCTAGTACTACTTCCACCAACCCCAACCTCAGCGACAGAAACTCGGCCTCTATGCTCCGAGTCACCCCCAGCCACTTTAGTCCCTGCCGTCCGTCGCCCACTTCACCAAACAAACAAACAAACAAACAACCAAACACCCCACCGTAGCCACAACCCACAAAACAAGTGCTTTTTTTCCAATGTGGTGGTGGTGGTGGCTCAGTCGCTGCACGTTTTGCTCGTGTCGCTTGTCAGACGTGGCGCTCTCAGCCCCAACCGACGTCGAGCGCCACGTTCGCTCCCCCTCGTCGTCGTCGTCCCCCGTCCTGTCTCTGTCCCACCCCACAGGAGCCCCTCGCCCCGGTCTCTACACCGCTCGCCACCACTTGACGCAGGAGCTCGTGGCCGTCCACGTCCTGGACCGCCGCTTGTTGCGCGACCGCAAGACCCGACGGCGACTGCGTCAGGAAGTGCGACTGCTGCAGCTGGCACACGGCCACGAGAACCTGCTGCAGCTGCACGAGGTGAAGGTCGTGCAGACGCGCGTGGAGCTGACGTTCGAGCTGGCGAGAGGGGGCCCCGTGCTGCCCAAGGTGCAGTCGGAGCGAGACGCGAGTCATGTGGTGCAGCAGACGAGCCAGGGCCTGCTGTTCCTGCATGAGCACGGCATTGTCCACGGCCAAGTGCGACCCGAGTACCTGCTGTACAGTGAAGACGAGCCGGACGCGCGCGTGCTGCTCGTAGCTTTTGGACGAGCAGCTCCGTGGAAATCGTTGAGGCTCGATCGACGACAATCAACGACCGAGACGCTGCTGTGGGATGACGTGCACCACGTTCACTTTGTACCGCCGTTTCTATTGCGACGGAAGAGCGGACGGGACTGGAAAGAGGTCAATCGACGACGACGGGGAAGGCGGTTGGTGACCACTTGGCGAGAAGCGCAGCAAGTGGATGTTTGGGCTCTTGGCGTCACTCTCTATGTGATGCTGTGTGGGTGTTACCCCTTCAGCGACGGAAAAGAGCGGGATGACAGTGCTGCCGATGTTGCACGCCGAGTGTTGAATGGTGACCTGACGTTTCGGGAGAATGGGGCGCGGTTGAGTCGTGCCGCGAAAGATCTGCTGCGTCGATTGCTGGAGAAGGATCCCGATGCTGCAATGAGCATCAAAGACGTAGCTGCTCATCCGTGGCTTGATGAGGCGGTAGCGCCTGCTGTCACCTGGAGCGCCGATAGGCTTGCGCAACACCACTTGTTTACTGCTAGGTATGCTGAAGAACTAGCAGCCGTTGCAAATCGCTCATCAGGATCGACCACGTCGACGACCAACTTCACGGATATGCAGACGGAAGGTAGAAACACAGCAGCGGGTGAAGCAGGTGCACTGCCCATGACTGATAAAGGCCGGAACAGTCCAGGATTCGGCAGCGGGGCTCTTGATCACGACACGCTTGACATGGACACGAACGAAGAAGAGGAAGAAGATGCTCGTCCGTCATTTGTATCCACACATGGCGCCCAGCTGTTGTTGAACGAAGAAATACGACACGAGCGCCCGAGTGCCGATAGTTTCATGCGTCTCGCTAGCGTCGAGATGGGAATAAACAACACGAATGCGGAAACTGACGACGATAAAGATGTACTTGACATCAGCAGTTCCCCAAATGCCGAGTACGACAGAGTCTCAGCCACAGGTATCAATGCTGTTGGTGGCGGGAGTCGCCGGAAATCGATCGACAAATTGCTGCTGGTACTGCTCGGTCAACGTCGCTTCTTCTCCTTCAAATCGATGAGCAGCGGCTCCAGCAGCGACAGGTCCTGACCCTGCTTTTATTTGCAAAGACCAAGTGGTTCAACGTCGAAATAGGGCAGAGCACGTGATTGTGTCACAAGTCACACAGAATCACTCCTAGGGCTCTGAGGGGTGAGGCTTGATCCAGGTGAGCTCGCACATCTTTAGCCAGGAGGTGGAAGCTGGAAATCGTGTTGGGGCATCCAGCTTGGTCGACACCGCTGTCTGCAGATACGTGCGCTGATTCTTGCAAAACGTGATGTTGCTCCGGCGGCAGGGTAGATGAATCTTGCACGTCAATGCTGATTCCGTATTATTTCTCGGTCACGAGGGACTTTGACCGTCCGCATTGTTTTACTTGGCGCTTTACCGCAATAGACTTTCGTATGGCGCCTCCTGAATCCGCTGATAGTTCTTGTCGTCAGCAACATGTGCATACTCATTGTTTCAGATCTGCATGACGTCGTGATTGCTCGATGTAGTAAAAGTCAGTTAACGTCATCGTCCTAGCATCCAAATCAAAGCACTCCCGCAGAAAAAACATGTCGAGACGGCATGCAAAACGACATCACGCCATGCCCGAGACACACAGATGCTTGCCAGCTTGATCTGCTGTCACAGCGCAACACATCTCTCGAACCACTAGTGAACTTGAGAGGATGCTGATGCCGAGCCAGCAAACGACGGGCGAGCTGGTTCTAGCGCACGCTGGCGAATCGCGACTATGCAGTTGTTCAACTTGACCAAAGCTCGTTTCTCAGGGCTATCATGATCAGCGAGTAGCTCTTTAATGTGTTGGATGTGGGTCTGCACATCCGTCTCAAGCGCATGTCGAAGGTCATCAATGATGAAATTTTCCTCACCGCCCACAGCGCTCAGCACGTTGTAAAAGTAGCCCAAATCGGCAGCCAATTGCTTTGCACCTATCTCCGACAGTCGCGAGATGGAGCATACCATACGCAACAGCGCTGCTAGTGTACTGCTGGCTACTGTCGCCGACCACAAATCCACAAATTTTGCTGCTGTAGGTACTTGCTCGGAAGCAGGGGTCACACCACTCGAGCCAAAAATCTGCTGGCAGGTCGAGAGTTCAGAGGGTCCGAGCTGCAAAATTTGACCCAGACGATCCCACTCGCCCTGAACGCACATCTCTTGTGCGCCACGTGAGGCTACAAAGGCGTTCTCAAGACTGTTACTTTCAGCAAACGGCTCCAACTGTGGGAGGAGTGATAACAAGAGGTCAGCGACTGTTGTAATATAGTCCTGCGGGAGCATACTGAAGGTCGGCAGCTCCAGATCTTCCTGAGCCAAGTTCAGTGTCTTGTGCCAAATCTGCAGAACGCATCATCAGTTTGTACATTCAGGCAATAAATAACTGGATCGGTGCCGTACCTCATTAGTAGGGATTGTGGCTAGCACACGCGCGATGGGCAGGAATATGGTGTCGTATGTGAGGAGCTGTACCTCCTTCGTCCATGAACACACGGCACGCTGAGCTTCATCAAGCACCTACAGATTCCATATGTAATTTCAGCATGACACTTCAGCAGGCATCAAGATAAATGCACCTACCGTTGCAGTCGGGTAGCAAGATACAGTGGTACCAGTCCCTGCTGGACGGCTCACCATCTCGCTGACAAACTGACGAAATTGTGATCGTCGGGTCGGGTCTTCGTCACACAGCCACATTGCTGACACTGCGACCACAAGCTTTGTCGGGTACAAAAGATTAGCTCGCGCGATACTTGAATCGTCGCAAGAATTTCTACGTAAGCTACGCGGCGACGAAACATCTGAATTATCGCCAGAATGTTGGGCAAGCTGCTCGCGCATGCGAACGCGTAGCCGACCGTCAACCGCACACAGTTGAGTTTCTAGGATGCCGCAGGCCTTTAGAAGAGCCAGTGATGCGTGAAATTGACCCCAGCCGGGCAAAGCAGCAACTCGTCGGTCATCTCCTTCGACCTGGAGAGTAGGTTCAGCCTTGCAGTATTTGCGGATAGCAGGCATTTTTGCGCCCAAGGACAATGTAAACTGCTGCACTGCCGTTCCTATGGCTTCCAAAGCTTCTGGGAATGCAAAACCGCCTGTAAACTCGTAACATTGCTGAACGCTTTCATCCACAACCGTCCAAACTGCTTCAGATGCTTCCTCAAGACGTTGCGAAAAGTCTTCGAGTGATGTGGCAGCAGCAGCGTCTCGGTCTTCCTCTTCTTCGTCTTCTCTACCTAGCGCTTCATTGCTTGTCGCGTGAAACGACGGCACAAGACGCATCAGCGCGTCGGTAAGAAAGTCGCAAGCAAAGCGCGTGTATTCCGTAAAATACAGTCGGTATGGCTCGAAAACGATGCGTAGGATACCATCTTCTGCACTTGCAGCCATGCCATTACTATCAGCCAACTTCACACCAAGTTCAGTTTCCAAAGACCGCACGAGCTGCACCAATTGACCAGCAAATCTTCGTGTTGCGTGGAAGCAGCGCACGAGTCGATCAAGACGAAAAGAACAGTCCGAGCTTGTCAATCCCCTCTGCTCCAGACGGTCTCGAAAGGATGCCGTGAGCGGTTCCAAAGTGTTGTGAAGCAAAGTGAGCAGCACACGGATCATCTCCACATCGCCACCAAAAAGTTCCCGAGCGTTGCGACTCTCCCGTTGCAGCATCAGTAGCACGTTCTCGTAGAAACTGTCGAGCCAGCGTGCAAACGCGGCGTGTCGGTCACCACCGTCATCACCATCACCATCTGCATCATCATCAGCTATTCCCGCACTCTGCTTCCTCTCGTCCTCATACTTGAACCACTCACGGTGCAACCGAACAGGTCTCGCCTGACAAAACTCTGCCTTCATCACATGACCTCGATCAATGCTATTGAGCACGTCCAGACACCAGCAAAGCCTCGTGACGTCGCCCACGTCGTCCTGTCGAAGCTTCGTAGCAACTCGAGGCAGCACCGCCGCTTCAATCTGCGTCTCTAACCTCTCCATCGTCCTTCTCCGCTCTTGAACTCCTGGCAGGTCCTTCAGCACGTCCAGACTCGAGCGCATCTGCCGCACACGATCGCCCAACGTCTCGGCGTCGTCCGTTGGCTCGGCGTCGGGGCCCTCAAGCGACAAGAGCGAAGGGTCTTCAATCACGGCGAAACAGTCGCGTACATAGCGCGTCCATCTAGCAGCTTCCACGAGCGCTTGCGAGCAGCTCTCGAGTCGTCGCTTCGTCTCGTGGAGCGTCACGAGCAGACGACGCGCGTCTGGCCGACGACTGGACGACGTGTCAGACGTGAGCGACGTGCAGACGCTCTGTGCGACATGAAGGTCGGCGCCAAGCGGCGTCGCAGTGAGTTGCAGCGCGTGGAGACGCGTGTGGAGACTCGGGACGGTGTGGGCCACGGCTTGGAGCGACGTCTGCAGCGTCTGGGAGAGGGACTGCGAGCGGAGAGCGAGTCGAGGGGCGAGCGAGGACGCGAGGGTCGTGGGGGCGGACGTGGAGAGCGCCGTCTCGAGCCACGCGAAGGCGTCGAAGCTGGTGGCAGGCGACGCGGCGGACTCGAGGAGCTCCGAGTCGGCCATGAGGTGGAGACGGTATGACTCGTGCTGCTGCGGTATTCCAATAGAGGGGTAATACCTGCTGATGATAAGAGGTGGGGGGGATGGGAGTGATGAGTGAGTGGGACAGTTGAACGCGACCAAAGCGACGAGAGGGAATGGGGGGAGGCAATATTATGGTGTGTGTGTGTGGGTGTTTTTGTGTGTGGAGATGTGGGGTGTGTGGGTGTGTCTGTGATAATGGATGAGCGCAGAACGAGAATGCATGCTACGGACACAAGAGTGCACGCAAGAAATCCGTTACCAAGGGGTTACCGTACAGCATGGCGCAGGCTCGGTTATTACTTTATCGGTGGTAGAGCGAAAGCTGTAGGTAGTCGAGTCACGAGCTCGGCGTCGTTGTTTGTCTCACAACATGGGCTCATCAAGTTACGGAATGGCTTTCTCTTCTTGGCCTTGAAGGGATAAACAAAGATCGTATGCACTTTGAGAAGCGAATGAGTACTGCAGTGTATGCTTGATTTTTCGTTCGTTTTTACGGTAGCTTTACGAATACGTCGTTGGTACACACACGGTGTAAACTCCTTTAGTACATTGCACGGTCTCCCGTCTGTCTTTCAGCAAGTAATTATTCAGTACTTTGTGCGGCCTTCCGTCTCTGTGTCAGTGAGTAAGAAGCACATTTCAGCCTTGATCCCAATCGCGGCAGTTTTAGTGACTCATTGTTGTGAAGATGGTCCGTATGCTCTTCCCCCATCCGCGACGTACTCACACGTTATCTAGATAGCCGTCGATTTCGATTGCTCAATCACTAACCAAAATGACCCGAAGCGATATCTGTGTAGATCAGGATTAAAGTGACGCGCTAGCGACTGCAGCGCCATTTCCTGTGTAAGCATCATTGACGGTTCTCGGTTGATGCATGCTCATGCAGCGCGGTTCAGTAACAACGACGTCAAGTGCTTTGCCGGTTACCAGACCAGAAATGAGCTGTACAAACTGATAGGTCACCTTCAATTCGTTTGGACGGATATAATTCGCGTCCATGACTTTTAGCTGTAAACTTTGACACAACAACCAGGGTGTGGACACTCAATCAGGATTGAGCGCTACTCACTCGTCCTTTGGCCTTACAAACAAATGGAGCGATTCCATTTATATTCATTATCAAGGGGCGCTGTATGCGCACTTAAGGCCATGTGCATCGCTTGACGCCGCACCACTTGACCAGTCGCAGGTCGGCGGCTTTGCAATTGAGACATCTTTTAGTATCATCAAATACTTTCGATCGCACAAAATAAAAAAGCACTTTGTTTCTTTGGCTCTTTCACGTCTGGGCTGACCAAAGTGCGAGAAAAGAAGTAGAAGGAGGAGGAAAAGCTCCGTGATCAAGCAGGAGAATGACGAACTTGGCGAGCGGTAAACGAAGGTCCTAAACTTCAGCTAATTATCGAGTGATGAGACTTGCAGTAAAACCCGTTGACAACATAATGGAACAACTATTTTGGTGTTCTGAGGTAAAAACGACGAACGGTCAAAAGCTGCCAAAAACATAGAAACGCCATAGAAACGCCATCATACAAGTGCTCTGTGCCGGTCTGTCTGTGAGCAAAGAAGCCAGAGGTCAGAGATCACTCCCCCGCCATCTCATTGGCCGCTCAATGTCTTTCTATTTTTCTTCGCATCTTCCCTACTGCTCCCGACTCGATCCACGTCTAATTTTCCAAAATTATTGCAAAATAGAAGACAAAAATCGACAAAATCGACAAACAACCAAAAATTAGACCGACCGACGGACGCCATCGTGCCCAACATCAATCCGTCACTTCCAGAGCCCACGGCGTACGCGACGTGCTCCCATCCGCCCTACCGATCACCTGCGCTCCCCGCTTACACCGCTGCACGCGCGTGCCTCTCGTCTCTCTTCTCCGACTTGCGCTGTTTTCTGTGTACGCTTAGAGCCGTCACAAGTTCAAGTTTGCCATGGCGTCTCTAGGCGGCGTACGCGTGAGTATCATCGAGGCCCGCGGCATCCTGGCGGCAGACAGCGGCGGCACGAGCGACGCATACGTGACCATGACGCTGCTGGACTCGAAGGACGCGGTGATCGCGGCTGGGGGCAGCTTCAAGACGAAAGTGGCGAAGAAAACGCTGACGCCGCAGTGGCTCGAGACGTTCGTCGTGGGGGACCAACTGGATCTGCGCGTGGCGACGACGCTGCGGCTCTTGCTCCGTGACGCAGACGGGGCGTTCTACAGCGACGACGTGCTGGGCGTCGTGGACATCCCCGTGTCGCTGCTCTTGGGGCTGCGCGCACCGCTGGACAATTGGTTCCAGCTGACGAAGCACGTCAAGATGAAAACCGACTCGAGCGGGGAGCTCCACGTTGCGCTGGAGCGCCTCGCGTCCGAGGAGGTCATGGCTCGTCGAGGAACGGGTGTCCCTATTGACCCGGAGGTCGCGACGAAGCTCGTGGTAGCGAGCAAGGAGCCGCCGAACTTGCTCTACGTGACGTTAAAGTCGGGCAAAGATCTGCTCGGGATGGACGACAACGGCACGACGAGTGACCCGATCGTGTTTCTCTCGTTCAACGGGCAGAAACACGAGTCGACGAAGAAAGAGAGGACGCTGCGGCCGCAGTGGAATGAAAAGTTTGGGTTCTTCGCGCCGAGCGTGACCATGACGTTGTCGGTTCTGGTGGAGGATTACGACATTACGATCAATGACTTTATGGGCAAAGCAGTTGTGCCATTGAAGGGTCTGACGCCACATGTGGAGAAGGATGTGATTGTGGAACTAGGCGGCAAGCGAGGCAAGAAGGACAAGTTACAGCGTGGCGTTATCTTGCTTACATTGTTGTGGACCTACGCTGCGGATGCTCGTGACGTTGCGAGAAAGAAGAAAAAGTCGACGTTTCTGCCTTCGTTTGGTGCTCCGGACAAAGACTATGACTCGAGCGGTGACGATGGCGTGGAGATCGATGATAGTGCAGCTAACAAGAAGTCGGAAGAGGAGATGAAGAAGGAGCGAGAAGAGAAGGCAGAGAAGCAGGCAGCATTAATGAGTGAGCTCAGCAGCTTCGAAATCAAGTCTGGCGACTACAATGTGCAGGTGCATGTCATTGAAGCACGCGACCTGGTGCCAAAGGATTCAACGGGCACGTCGGATCCAGTTGTGTATGTTGAGGTCTTTGGGGAGAAGCAACAAACTGCAGTGAAGAAGCAAGTTCTGAGCTGTTTCTGGGACGATCTGCTCATTTTTCCGTTCCGGAATATGGACAAGTCGGAAGTCGAGATGGGATACGTCCGGCTGAGCGTCATGGATGCTAATACGCTCCAACGTGCAGAGCTGATCGGTGGAGCGCAGTTTGACGTGTCCTACATTTACTCGCAGGCAAACCATCAGCTGGCGAACGTTTGGATAGGCCTTACGGATATTTCAAACTCCACTAATCAAGGCATACAGGGATACCTGCGAGCGTCTATCTCGATCATCGGACCAGGGGACAAGCTAATTCCACCTCCTTCACCGTTCGGCGAAGGTGCGGCTACAGATATGAGCAATGTTATCATGCCTCCAAGTGTCACTCAGCAGGTCCACTTTTTGGGAGCAACCATCCACGTGGCTGAGCACTTGCCGCCCATGGATGTTGCTGTTGTCGGAAGAGGTGGTCTGGATGCTTACATCAAGGGATCGATCGCTGGTGGAGACGCGATTCGGACTCGTGTGCGCACCAAAAAAGGTCGGCGCGATGAGCTTTGTCCACGCTTCAACGAGGAACTGATGCTCGTTATTCGCGAGCCCTCCATGGCCGATTCTATCCAGCTTGGTGTCTTTGACTGGGATCAAGTGGGATCTGACGAACTGGTTGGATATGTCTACCAGAGTGTGAAACTCGTGAAGGCAATGGGTGGTAGAATCGCACCATTTTGGGCCAACATTTACGGAGCACCTTTACGTCTAAAGTCGGTAGGTATTGGTGACTCCATGAAGAAGCAGATGAACACGTATCCCGATATCGCCAGCACGTATCGCGGTCGTCTACTCATTAGTTTCCGTATCTTGACAAACGACGATAACGAGTTTGACGAGACGAATCAGAAGCGCAATACTAAACGTGTTCCGCGGGACTTGTACCCTCGAGAGCGCATCTATCGCCTCCGAGCCCACTTTGTGTGGGGTAGCGAAATTCCGTCATTCTTGAGCTCCAAGCGTCCCGGGCAGAAGTCTATGATGCAGTTGGTCATGTCGTGTGGCCTGAACGAAATTGCTTCTTCTCGAAGCCGTAATGTGAATGGCGTAGTCGAATGGAACAACATGGAGGAGAGTGAAAAGATGTTGCTTCCTGAAGACATTTCTCAGGTACCAGACATCTTTTTGTACTTGTGCAAGGGAGAAGGTGACACTCGAAGAGCTGTGTGCTTTCGCCGCTTTACAGCAAAAGAGCTTCTGGAGGACCATGGCGGGTTTGACAGTGAAGTAGAGTGGATTTCGATGAAGGAAGACCAAGCGATCGATGCGCTCGAAGACGAAACGTTCCCAGGTAATGTGCTGGTTCGCATGGGCTTTGGAACCGAGGAAATGGCAATGCAGACATCATGGGACCGCACAGACCTGGATGCAGTAAACAAGCGTATTCCGTATCAGCTTCGCGCTCACATTTACCAGGGCCGCCGTCTCCCGCCAGCTGATTCAAACGGACTTTTGGATCCATATCTTCTTATCCGGTGTATGGGTGAGAAAGAGAAAATGACGTCTAAAAAGAGAAAGACGAGAGATCCGCTATGGTACGAAACAATTTACTTTGACGTGAATCTGCCAGAACTGAAGTATGCACCTCAAGTGATGTTGCGCGTCATGGATTTTGACGACTTTGACACCAACGATTTTGTTGGTCTGGCTGCGTTGAACCTGTCGGAGGCACACATTCGGACATCGGAAGAGCTGTCAAGCGGCCATTCGCCAACGCTGCCGGATCCGAAGTGGCATCCGATCATGTTCCAGGAGCCTGGTGATTGCGAAGGTGAAATTCTGGCATCCTTGGAGCTTATCCGTAAGCAGTTTCCAGATGAGAAGGTTCCTCGAGCACTCCCGATCTTGCCAAGAAACCGCAAAGCTTTTCTTGAGATCACGGTTCTGGGTCTCCGCAACATGGAGCCGTATCATTTCTTGCCAATCCAGCTACCGTTTATCGAGTTTGTGCTTGGTGGCAAGGAGCACGCAGCTCAGGAAATGATTACCGAGAAGTCAAAGCGACCGTCTGGAAGCAACCCGAACTTCCTCCAACGCATTGTAAAGGAGGTAGAGCTACCCGAGAACGCGCATTTTGCGCCCCGATTGAACATCATTGTGAAGGACACGCGCCTTGGAGGGTTTCAGACGCCTATAGTCGGCTCTGCTTCCATCGAAATGAGCTCAAAGATTCCGTGGTCAAAGCACTACCGTCCGCCTCAGAACGACACGCTGGCTGAGATCGAGCTGGAATCTGGTGACGAGTGGGGAGACGACGCACCTTTGCTCGGAAAGGTTACTCGAGATAACGACTTTACTCCGTTGGAATCTGTTGATAACGGAGCTGGCGTGTTCGGTGCATTAAAGAGTATGGGTGTCGAATTTGACCCCAACGGAAACTTTGACGAAGTGTCATCTCGTCGATCAACCGTGGTAGGCGAAGAAGACGATATGAAGTCAAAGAAATACCTTAGGCACCGTGAATTGCTGGAAGGTGACCTTGAATCGGAGCTGAAAACGACACCTTTCGAGAAATATGGCCTGCACATCGGCCAAAAGAAGAAGAGTTCATCTCTCCTGTCAGCATTCAACCCATTTGCAAAGAAGTCGAGGGGAGTTGGAGGCGACGTTGGCATTTACAAGATGGCTGGGTATTTCAAGGGCTTGATTCGTATCATTGAGCGTGAAGACGAAAAGCCGCTGTTTCCTATCGAGACTCTGCTTCAGTCACTGCCGTACGAAATCCGTGTCTACGCTCTAGATGGAGTCGGCTTTGCGCCAATGGATATCGGGTTAAATGGCCGGCCAGGCAAATCCGACCCTTACTTGCGCTTGACAGTTGGGGACCAAAAGGTCAGCGATCGCAAGAACTTCATCGAAGATACGACTGAACCTGATTTCTACAAGATGTTCGTGATCAACACAAAGCTCCCAGGTGCTAGCATCCTGACCATTGAAGCAATGGACTACGACCTGATTGGAGGTGACGATTTGATCGGTAAGACCACGATTGACCTTGAGGATCGTCTGTTCGATAGGCGATGGCAGGCGATGGGGAAAATGTATGAAACATCCAAGCGCTTTCGCTTGAAGCCGCTTGAGACCCGAACGCTCAACATCCCGACATCTCAAGCTCCAATGGGCACGATCAAGCTGTGGATCGACATTTTGAGCCCTGCTCAAGCTCATGATTACCCCCCTATCGATATCTCACTGCCTCCACCAGTTGATATGGAGCTTCGTGTGGTCGTGTGGAAGGCACGTAATGTACCTTCGTTTGACACGCTGGAAGACATGAACGATTTGTTTTTCCGCTGCTGGATGGAAGGGTCAGACTACCAGGAAACGGATATTCATTGGCGTGCGAAGAAGGGCAAGGGATCGTTTAACTGGCGTATGAAGTTCCCCATTACTCTCGGTCATAAGCAAACCAACACTAAGATACCGTACTTCCATATCCAAGGCTGGGACAAGGACGTAATGTCGGCTAACGATGCGATCGGCGAGCATACGCTCGACCTTGGACCATCGTTCCGCCAAGCTTACAAACTCAAGTCAAATGTTCAAGTCTACGAAGATGACGAGGAGACAAAAAAGAGGAAGAAGAAGGCCGCGTCCAACGATGACGCTGCAGTAAAAAAGATTAGGGAGGCCACTGGTCTCTGGGACGACGACGACCCGCCCGATTCGAAGTGGCTAAAGTTGGAAAGCCTTGATCATAAGACCAACACCCGTAGCTTTATGGGTGAGGTGTGTGTCTCGCTCGAGCTGGTTCCAATGGAAAACGCAACGCAGAATCCTGTAGGTCAGGGTCGGTCGGCACCAAACAACTCGCCGTACTTGCCTCCTCCAGCCGGACGTCTTTCGTTCTCGCTCAACCCGTTCAAGGTGCTTAACGACTTGCTGGGACCGTCGATCTGCAATCGACTCATGTGCTGCTTTTGCTGCATCCTGTTCATGGTGCTCGTGTACTTCTTAGCACCGTTTATCAATGTGGCCATCGTCGCGATGAGACCATAGTGATGGTGCTGAGGATGCTAGCAGCTTGTCACGGATACCTCCGCGATAGCCGATGTTGCACTTGTATCGAATACCTGATTTGTGCGTCGTTCCTGCTGCGTCAGTTTGCAACCGTCGTATTTCGATTAGGGGGACGCGACGGTACTTCAGAGGTGCTGCACAGCCAATTTCTGTATTTTGCAATCGGTGCGATAGCGGGTGTGCCTCCCCAAGCGGACTAATAATCGTGCAGATGTGACCGTGGTCGGCTTAGTGCCTGTACGAAAGGACGAAGGAAAGCATCAAAACGGCGGCCACCCTGACATCGGTCGTTATGTTAATGGAGACATCACCAGCTGGACCGACAATGTGACTGCTTCAACCTCTGACGCTGGTAACGAAGTAGTAGGCCGCCTGAATTGATGACACGAAGACGCGAACGTAAAACCGAAAACCGCGACAACTTTGATAGTACTGGAAAAGGCAAAGCAACGTGCATGACCCGGCTCTGGCATCGCCCTGCTCTTTGCGTTTGCCGTCGCGCCGACAAGGTCCGTCCGGTATCATCCGCATCATGTTTTTATATCACCCTGCTCGTGCGTACACTCTGGATCGAGCACTTTACATTTTGCGGCTTGATTTGCTCGGCAAGTCTCATCTATCATCAGCGTTTGGATCGGGAGTACTGTCGACGATGGCATTTACAAGCCGTCTTCTGGTTCTCTAGCGGTCAATCTTGGAACGAGTAAAAGCACCCGAAGCTCACGATCTTCTCGTGTCAGGCTCACGGAATCAACGAGAGTCTTGATACATCATGTAAGATCGTAGTGCGTTACGTCGACGTACATTGCTTCATGGCAAAAGGGGAGGTTGTGTCGTAGATGGGCGACAATTCCAGCAAGACCAAGACATGAAGGACGAACATTTGTGGAGCTCAACAAGAAAACTGGTTGTAGTACTGGAGCCAAGTGCGCAAGGTTTCGATTCAACTCTGCCTTTTTCTGACAGGGAGACGCAAAGACAAATTCGGAAGAAGTATCTAGCCACACACTTCACATCTTGGATTGCTTCAAGCAGACGGATATCTCGCGAGCAAGAAATGTACGCCGCCATTAGCAAAGAACTGGATCTGGGTCTGCTTGATGACTGGCAGCAGCTAAGGCAAATGGAAGTAGCGATGAACGAAGAAGCGTGAAAGGGTTGCTAAGCTCACTTGTCAGAATGGGCCGCAAGTACTTCTGAGCACCCGAAAACTGCATGCGAAACAGCCTGTCGCCACCTCATGTTTCAAGATTTGGCTTAACAAGTACTATCTCGTGGAAATGAACAAAGATGAAAGGCCCCATATACTGCTTCTGAAGGTCTGAGGTTGTCGTCCAGCTGTGATATGAGTTTGATACGCCGCTGGGAACAAGACTGCCGGCAGCATAAGGACGCTGGGAATGATTGCGAGTTGCCGTCAGCTTTCGTTGCGTATACAGCATTCCGTTCGCATCGGTGAACTTAGTGTTCCAACAGCGTATCCCAGGTATCTCACCGATCGCCGTGACTTCGGACCGATATGCCGAGACGATCCACGTTGTATACGGCCAAGTTGAGAAAGACTAGGATGTACAAGGTTGTACCTCCAGGTGTCCGAATCTCTTCGCGGTGCTCATCACTCCAGGCTTTTCTTACACTATGGCGAGATTTGGCCTTCGATCTGTCGCTAGCAGTTCGTTTCCACGAAGACACCGACCAGGATTTCCATCAAAATCCGGGACGAAAGCGTGGACGACACGTACCTGAGGCGAGCAGCAGCATGTGGTTCTGAGCGTGGGATTTACGTGGCACGCGATTCGTCACAGCAGACGAAGAAACTACTGCGTGTATTGATACCACACAAGTACGAAGCAGTTGAGTGACCGTGGATGATTGGGTGTTGGAGCTCGCGAGGCCACAACTTTGGACTCCTCCCATGCCTTGACACGTAAATAGGGAGCCCTTTGGTCCACACTCTCTTCGACCGATAATCCCTGGCTTGTGGATCACGAAGGGAGGGCTGTAACTGCATTGGATTGAGGTCCACATGTACTCCTTTGTTATTCCAACGACTTCAGGATACAAGCATCAACAAGCCAAGCTGCGCCGCTCGGAACGACGATTCGAATAAGCGCTCCGGAAATGGACATTGGCACACCGCTTCAAGTCTGGCGGACTCTATAACAGCGACACTTACTATAGCCAAAGAAGCCTACGCCTGGGAACCTGCCACAGCGGGCCGCATCAGAGGGGTCATGGTGGAACCGGTTTGCCACAGTCAGAGTGTCATTGGAGCAGGAAAGTGATGGTATTCATCGGACAATTGCCGCGGCCAAGCAGAGAAGATCAGTAGACGGCAGCCAGCTGCACGGCACTTTGACAGAGCCAAGAAGCAGGGTGCGTGGCAGGCCGCAGAGCTACAACAGACGCCAGCAGTAATCTGCGTTCACAACAACGAACTCACGGAGGACCAGGTGTGGGTCAATTTGTGGGTAACAGTGCGGCGACTGAATCTTGATTTTGCTGGGCGAGAACACGACGCTCGTTACCGAAAGCTGCCTTGCTGCTTTGGAGTAAGGGGACCACGGTCCGTAATGTCTGGACACGTTCGTGCGCGCAGGCCTGCTGATAGAAGAAGCCCATCACATGTCACTGAGCGGGACGACGTTGGGACTAAAAGACCGCATGCACGGTTCCTTGCAATTGCGAACGTTGACAGGCACCGGGGCTGTCGTCGGTAGTCAAGGAGCATCTCCTTCGTGACCATCGTGACCGAGACGGGGACTTTGCAAGCGTCTGGGAGCGACTGTGGCAGGTACTGAGGTGCATCTGTATCACTAGCTCATGAATCTAACGGCAGCGTCGAGCGATGTCTCTACTAGAACAAGCCCTCACCATCGAAGAAGGCAGCGCCATGTGAGAGAAGAGGCAAGCGGTAGCACAGCGGGACTACTAGAGGTCCACATGAGCACAACTCAGGGAGCACGTCAAAGCAGCGTGGCTCGCATACCGCGGGAGCCATCATTCAAGGTGACAAGCCGAATAGGTGGAGGATAAATAGACATCCTACAACCATTTTGCAGGTCAAATAGACTATTTGGCTCTCGCTCCACAGAGCAGTTGACCCGCTGCAAGGTGCTTTAGGGTCATGGCATGATGCCGCTTCTGCTGTCACATTTGAAGAGAGGCAGACGGGTCACTGCATTCGAAAGTTGGTGGTGCAGACGGACAGCAGAAACGTGACGGGAATCGGTGACGATCTGAAACTTGATTACGGCCTCGTCGAGGTGTTGACGTTCTATGACAGCAGCTGGTCAATAGATTCGTTGCTTTGTCCGGTTCGTGAGCTGAGTTGACTGTCGACATAAGTGGCGTTCGGTCTCGAGTTCGTACTGTCTGTAGGTTTATTCCAGCAACGGTGCCAGAACATGACAGGCTTGCAATCGTTTGTAGTGCGCGACCTTTGTTTACGGAGGAAGAAAGGGCGTGTAGACATCCAGTTTAGAGTCAGTTTGTCGCACGGAGAGCAGTCCCACTGCACGTAGTAACTCCCGGATCCTTACGTCGTGAGGATCGGGAGCTGTGCTCGACGACCGGACCGACAACTCGAAGGCTGAAGTCGAAAAGTAGGTACCAGGTGGTGGGAGGGGGGGGTGACAACCGCTGTTGACGTACGCCTCACCTCAGGGTGTCTGGATTGATGCTTCCCTTTCGGATTGCACGCTGCGCTGCCTCCCGTAGCGCACGCAGCGGCAAGAAGGCTTCCCCCCTTTCAGCTGGGTCCCACGATAGGGGACTTCCCATGCAGGGTAAGGGGGCCGGTCGCCCGGCTCTTTGGAGGTCTCCGTCGCTTGGCTGTTGTTTTCCAAGGCGCAATCAGGGAGCGCAGCAGTCGCACACGTAGACGAATATCTGACCCTGAATCTGGCTCGGAGGAAGAAGGATGACCTGCTCGGAACGATTAAAAAGGGACGCCAGGAATCATGAGTGGGATGTTTACTTCTTTGGCCTTTGGGTGATGTAGTCGCGATGGCTTCAGATCATGACCGCAATCTGCAGATGATGAAACGTTTGTGACGTTCAGCTGAGACGTCCCTTGCGATCACGGTCAGTAGTGCTTTGCGTCGATGAGCAGCGCGGTTGTCAGACGTGTCGCGCTCACAACATTGTATATGGAAAAGTATCAGTGAGCCAGGAGCAGGCTGCAAGACTGTACTAGGGTAGTTTCACATCAAAATAGCGCAGCCCTGAGACCGGCGTTTGTACAACAAGTCCCACCAATACTGGTCGTGTCGGCTGTGCTCTTCTTGCGACAAGTTTGTGGACACGAGGCAGGGCGTCATCATCGCTTCATTGATGGGTACCATTCAAAAATTTATCCAAAACTTTTGCCCGTGTGATGTTGTGGGCAATCGTCTCATTGCTACAAAGAGGTTGCGTCTATGCTTTGGCTGACGTGGTGGTCCAGGGGACACATGTCAACGTATCTTCGTGACTTGAGCCATCATCGTCTATAGGAACGTGATTACCGCGATCACGGTCTTGAGCCTCCGCCCAACCGGACGTTTGATTTCGTCCGGAGTGGTTTGCAGTTGATTCAATATTGAGTACTAGCCAGTCAGTTGATGCAGTGTACAGACGGCACTAGCGCACTGATGTGGAGGCAAGACATGCTGGGGGGGAGTATCAGTACGATTCGACTCGGGTGATCGTAGTTTATGGCCAGTTGTGTTCACGCACCCTCTACAGCCAGTAGCCGTTGGGCACTGGATCTCATGGCAGTCACGTAAACGCAAAAACGCTCTGGTACAGATTAGATGCGATTGGATAGATCCTAGTATCTACGACTCGACAACAGCGCAATACGTTGTGCTGTGACGGCTGATCGATTGCAGGAGACAATGATCAGACCTCACCTTGATGAGACTGTGAACGTGAATGCGGCAACGACGAGCTACTGTTGCTACGGCTTGATAATACACGAGCATCACTTGCGTCAAATAGTATAGACGAAATATTTGATAAATGGACGTGCGCGTAAGCAATTGCCGCATAGCCTTGCCTGCTGACTTTCTGCAACCATAACTGATCACGTCTGCCCGGTACGGGGTGTCACAAATCAATTCTGTTTCATGATTGCGCCAATTGAGACACAACGCCCGGACGTCTGGACATCATCTGATGATGAGGGAGGATACACAGCTGCTACACAAACTCTCACCTCTGGGTCAACCAACCGTGCTGTCAGTTCACTATTCCTTTTGCGCTCCGCCACTCACTCGATACCCTATTCCGAACACCCTCGACCCCCCCCCAGCCATGCGATCCCTCTTCGTCTTCGCCCTTTGGATTAGTGGTGTGCTACCCGCCACTGCTGACCCCGACTCGAGCACCAGCGAGTCAAAGGGCACGGCACTTGACGCCCCTGCAGTCGAGTCCAAGTCTTTCGTTGACGGAAATCAAGAAGATCGGGATATTTGGAGAAGCGTTCTTCTCGATGTGGCCGAGAGAATCAAGCCCGACATGTTCAAGCACCGTGGCCGTCCCGCTATTACCAACACGTACCACCAGCTTGAGAAGCCCAGAAAGATCAAGGTTGGTCGCCCCGTCTTTCAAATCCGCAAGGAGAACCCCCACAAGGCTGACTTGGAGGCTTTAGAGTTCGATGAAATCCTTAGCGTAGCTAAATTGTTCACTTTTGGAGGTAAAAAGGTCCCTCGCCACATCAAACAAGCACTCGACCAAGCGGCGGTCTCGTACGTTGCAGGCCTCTCTTTTCCTGTAATGATCGAAAGAAACACCAGACCCGACTTCCAAAGCTCACAAAACAGAGCTGTACTTCGCGAGATGGTAAAAAAGTATGGTAGAGAGAATGTAGCGTTCATGATCTATCGTGCAAAGCAGTCGCAGACGACTAAGAAGGTGGCAGAGGCGTTGGAAGCGATGCAGTTTTTCGAGTGGGACACAGATAGGGTCACTATTAAGGGTGCTGAAACTATGCTTGAGAGGTTTGAATTTTTTGAGCTTGGTAGTAAGGCGGGGGCAAAAACGATCCTAGAAGGGTACAAAAAAAGTCCACGCTCAGGGAAAGACAACGCCTAAAAATGAATTGACATGAATCGTGCTGCGTTTTCAATTTGGTCCATTTCGTGTCGTACTGTTTTGTCCGCTTGTTCTCTTCCCGACCTTTTTTGCACCGACCTTTGTCGAGCCAACCAGTAGCACCCATTTGACTCGGGAACAAGTGTGCACTATCTGGCACCGTTGGCAAGCACGAGCAGCGAGCTACAGTGCCACCCCCAGCAGGCAGCCCTTAGGAAGCGTTGGTTGATGTATGCGCGCAAAATTCGACACGGTAAAAGCAGATTGGGTAAATAAATACACGGAGGCCAGCTGATGTACGTGCCGTCTTGCGCAAGCTTATCCTCGAGGCTTTCAATACTATCGGGTTTGTAAGTGAACTAGCCTCTATCGGTTAATGCATCGTTTTCAGTAAAACCTTCGACATTGCCGGTCCCGTTATGTACAGCACGGTGCTCGCCGTGCAAGCGCTGGCGACGTCGTGCCTGTTCATTTCACCTCGGCATCTTAACGCTAAGTAACGAAGACAAGCATACAAAGCGTTAGCACGCAGTTCGCATCGCCACAATGGTACCGCGGGATGTAGAAGTAAGGGCTAGCCCTGATTCTCTGTGTGTCCCTCAAATCGTAGTCAAAAGCACGTCAACGTAAGCTGTCCGAAGGAGACGGAAGGACGGCTAGACGTGCACTACTGAAAAGATGTGTTACAAAGTTGAAAGAGTGATCATGTCCACACTATGATGATCAGTGATGACAAATTGGTTACAACAACGCGTACAGGCTCGACCCCGTCCGTTTTCCTGTGTAACGACCTCTTTATCTCACTCAGCTTCTCGCTCTCTTTTCAGCTACGCATTACGTCATGTCTTGAATGCGTAGTCCAAAACAGATCGTCAAACGTAGTAAATGATGACGAATTCAACGTCTTGCGATAAGAAAGGAGGCTTCACGACGACGGGCAATGCTTGATGTCCTTGCTAATGATACATAATCAAGACTTCTTCTATTCCTTCGCGTTTGCTTGTCGTAGGATAGGTTTTGGCCTTACATGCGAAATGAGTGTTGCTTCTGCGTTCAACATTCTTTTGTGGGTACGATACTTCCGATCGTAAACTGTCTTCAATGACTAGTGAAACATGATGAGACTGAGCTAGCACGTACCTGCTGAGTACGTGCTCGCTCAGTCTGATCATGTTTCACTAGTCATTGAAGACAGTTCACGATCCCGACAAGGTCTAAATCTTGCCCTGACAATCGAGATGACTTCAATCTTGCACGTTTTTAGCCGACAAGATCATTCTGATTCCCCTCGCATCCTAGAGCCGCAATCGATCACCTTACATTATCTCAGGCGGACTTGCGCACCGACGTATCCCGTTCCTATGATTTACCCTTTGCTCGCGCGAGGAACGCTGTCACGCAAGAGGCGGAACCTACATTGCAAGATCGATAGTTCTATGCTCAAATTACGAAAAAGACCAGTGAAGTTGTAAGTGGATACGAAACTTGCGTGTACGCTCGCCGTAGCAAGCAGCAAGCAGTCGTACCATGAAGTAAATTAGGGCTGATTTACCACTCGGTCCATAGCTGCAACCGTTTCGATAGATATGGTGGTTCCTTTGCACAACGTTCGTATCCATTGCGATCGCGTCGACTTTCTGTTTATGGACGTGCGAGGAAGTCCTTATAAGCATCAGTGCATTTATTGCATTGCCGGTACCAGTGCTTGTTCGCTTATCCCCCGATGCTTACGACTTAGACATCGAATCCACCGGTCTCCCTTTACTTCAGTTGGTAGCGACCGTTTAGAAATAGTCGTATGCCTGCGCATGCGACTTAGCGCACACACAACAGCTATATCGATTCGACGGGACTCGCCGAGTCTGATTTGCGTAGAAACCACAAGTGATAAGCGCTTGTTCCAGACTTTGTAAGACTAAATGTAGATCATGATCGCCATTCTCATGGTTGGAACACGAATAGTTATGACGCAACTATCATTACCGAAAGGAGAAGGCATACTGAAGATAGATATCACACCAAGAAAGAAGCGGGTAAGCAATAGAACAGCCATGGCACCCACATGACCGTCCGAACGAGCCCTGACTTCTTCCGGAGTCCTTTCGGCTGTGGAGCGCTTTACAGTGTCTGCTACAGGTCGCGGTGGCAGTATGTGCTCTCAATTTTATGTTACACCCCTCAACTCTAGCAGTTCCAACATTCGCTGCGGTGGCTGCTTAGCCTTGAAGGGCATCTAGATTGAAGCTGAAGCTGGCAAGAGAGCTGGGGTCCAGGAAGCCTTTCAGTAGTTTCATGGAGAGTCGTGACGGACCCCGGTAAATTAACTTCGCCAACGGGACATTGCAAATAAAAATCACTGCGCAAATGGTATCTGCATCGTTGTGGCTAAAATCGGGGCTCAACGAAACTTTCCGAATCGTAAGAAGGACGCGGCTTTCGATGATAAGTGCAGGAGAGGCACTCGTAGCGTTATTTGAGCCTCTACTGAGCACTAGAATCGAAGATGCATTGTGCACTATTCTGTCACTTGACCTCCTCCGGTAAGCTTGACACGAGCTGGTACGTACTCGCCCAAATTTTGATCAGGGTATGATATAAAAAATCGGTATAAGCAGAAACCCGATGAGGGAGACGATCGATGTACACAACTTGAACAAACACAAAACTTCGGGCACAATACGAAATACATTACGCGACGACTGGGAAAGAGTTGTGTTTGTGTTGAAGAAATAAAAACGAGTAGTTGCCACTGCGCAGTTCGTCGCGCTAATTGAAATGCGGCGCTCAATTGGTTGCCCCGCACCGTTCCGATCGATGATGCTCTGAGTATGAGCTTAAATCTACGAATTCTTACTCCTAGCGATGGAACTGACAGCACGCAAACTGCCATGCTAACATTCTGGACCATACTGGAGCTTTTTTATCGCGGTCGGAGGTATTACGACCTCTCGACTTTTCAAATGACTTCAGATTGGTGATTACAGACATTCCATCAGGATTCCGTCGATACTGGACGAATAGTTTGGTTTGGTGGTACAATGACGGCCGAGGACTGTACACTCGCGAACTAGCCAACATTGCGGAGTTCGAATCCTTGTGTTGGTATCACAATCGACCTGCACGGATACTTGGTCGTCAAAATCTACTTAAAGTCTTAGCGCCCTGCTTGGCCTGACGGCAGCGACCACGGTATTGATCAAAACACAAGTCACCAATCTCTCGAGGCACAGACATGACATTGAAATGGCTGGATTAGTTACCGCGACGTACGATTATTACCAATTACATTTCTTAAGCAAAGCTTCGTCGCCACATACGTCGTTCGTTATCCCGTTCGTAAGCTATTAGTGATTGTGCGCAGGGTTCGTACCAAGCTTTCCAAACCCTACTTTCAGTCTGTATCTGTCTGTAAATAATGCTGGATGCACCTTACACGTCGTTCTAAGTGCGATGTAGCCTCTCCCGTCCTTGTAAATAGATTTGCATTATACTGTGGATGTCACTCCTCGTAGGTCACTGATTGCGACCGCATAGAGAGTGTAAGTCGCACGTACGCAATTATGCCCGCACGTGATTGGCTCAAAACTGACCAAGCGGACAGAGCTAACAAGCGCATGTTTGACATTTGATGGCGGCGAAAGTCTCGCTCCTATGGCAAACTGTACATGTGAAGTGGTCTCCATCCGAAAAGCTTAATATACTTCGATAAGATAAGTGGATCAATCTCTGGAGATCGCCATTTAATACAAGAGCATCTACAGCAGTCAGTAAAACTTAACTTTCTGTCCAATCAAAAAACGTTATAATGTTATGCTCATAAAAGTGCGCTACAGCAGCGAAATAGCTCGGGAGTAACACGAGAAAAGTTGTTCTTTCGTTATCCCGCCTAACGTTTTATAGTTCAGTGACACCCGAGATACCTTTCTTGGATGCATGTCACTGGCTCAGGAATTTGAGATCAATCAGGTCATTGGCGAAGGTTAGCTGTATGTCATTGGCTGCATTTGATAGAGAAGAACGATGATTTTGAAGTCGACGACGTGGTTCCAAATGACGCTACCAACGAAATGCCGTCGAGCCTAGCAGGGCACCAAAAAAGAAACCAAGGTGACCACAACTTTACCAGTCACGTTCGGCCAAAATAAAAGTACACCATATCGTCAAACTGACTGCTGTGTAGTTTTTTGCGTACAAGTTCGAGAGCAAGTTATACTGGTCTTTGATCGGTGCACAAAAAGTTAAGTTACACCCGCTGCTGGAGACGCTCTAAGTAAGTCAGTTAAAAAACCGAATCATGTTCAGTATCTTCATGATCCATTTCTAGTGGTAAACGGCTAGGAAATGGGTTATGTTTTGTGTATTTATCAATGAGAGTGCTGGTGGATTGCGTGGTTTCAAGCTGTTCGTCGATGTTGTTAGTTTTCTATACAGAAGAATATAAAAAAGAGGAATGGGGATGATCCTGCTCGGTCCGCCGTAACAACAAAGGGCAGCCTATGACACATCATGATCTAATGATAACGCGACATGATATGAAGAGAGCTCGGTCTGTAACCTAGAGAAGACGGTGGCCATATCCTCTTACTATATCAGTAATTCGGAGATGTACCACTTTGCATATACTGTTTGCGGAAGGTGCTAGACTGTTGCATCCCTTGCGTGTCCAGCAGTTGCTTTGTTAGGCCTCTGTAAGCCCTTGGTCACTTTTGAGTCGGCCTCGAGCGGGCATTGGTGCGTGTATGAACGTAAGCAGTTCGCGGTCGCAATGCGTGACCTGATCAAGAGTGCCACCTATAATGTTTATTGATCAATGAAGAATGGGCAAATGTTGCATCGCACTTCGTACTACGTATAAAGTACACCTGACATTAAGTACAGATCCAAACATAGGAGGAAAATGCCACATCGCACTTAGTTCGACGTGTAAGGTACACCTAGCGTTACCTACATACCAAGCGGTGACAGAATGAGAGCCTGTTTACTAAGGTAATCGAACCTCA